CCCCATAAATTACTTATTAATTACAAAGAGGAAACATAGTAACTTTACAGTGATGAAACCTGAAGGCTACTACCTTAGCCAGTGATCAAAAGTTAACGTCCGCTGGCTGGGTGCAGTGGCTCACGTCTGTAATCCCAACACTTTGGGAGGCCAAGGCTGGTGGATCACCTGAGGTCAGGAGTTCGAGACCAGCCTGGTCAACATGGTGAAACCCCATCTCTACCAAAAATACAAAAAATTAACCCAGCGTGGTGGCAGGCGGGCCTGTAATCCCAGCTACTTGGGAAGCTAAGGAAGGAGAAACTCTTGAACCAGAGAGACAGAGGTTGCAGTTAGCCAAGATTGCGCCATTGCACTCCAGCCTGGGCAATAAGAGTGAAACTCCATCTAAAAAGAAAAAAAAAAAAGTTAACATCCCCAGTGTTGGAATAGGCCAACATCATGTGTATCTTTGATATGGTGTTCTGAGAAGGTCACAGCATCTCCCCAGTGTCCTGCCCAAAACCCATAACCTGAATTTAATCACAAGAAATGTTACTTAATAATTGACCTGTACTATTTTAAAATGTCAAGGTATAATTTGAACTTTTTTGCCACACACATACAAAAAGTCAAGGTCATAAAACACAAAGAAGGCTAAGGAATTGCCCAATTTAAAAGAACTGAAGAGACAATAACAATTAAATGCAATGTGTGATCCTGGATTAAATCCTGAATTGAAGAAAAAAATAGTTGTCAAGGACATTACTGAGTGTAATTGATGAAATTGAACATGGATGATGACGTGAGCATGCATAGCAACCTGCCTGGTGTGGGTAGTCCAGGGACACCAAGCCCCGACGCTCCAGCTAAGGCGTTCATTCCCGAGCCTGGGGACTGTGGCACCCAGCCCTCTGAAGCTTCATGGTCCCAGGATTTCTTTCATCTTCTGCTTCCCTCTTTAAGCTTTCTGATTCGTTCATTGGCATAGTCTGCTGGGAGAGGCAGCAGAAATGTCTGGAAGATTCTCCAGAGCCCCAACAGTCTGCCACCCTCACCTCTCACATCTACTTCAGCTCCAGTTCTTTCCCTGTTCCCACAGGGAGAGTCCATCCTAAACAGGGAGTTGGTGACCTGATGTCCCTCAGGAGCTCAGGAGGCCCTGACGCAGTGTGAGTTCAGGTCCCACTGGTGTCCAGAGGGAACTTCCAAGTGTGGAATCCCTTACACAGAAACACTTTCTGTAAACCACTCCTCCTTGCTTCTTCCCATCCTGGCTCAGTGCCCAACCGCAGCTCCAGCACCAGGAGGGAGCACTCACCCAGTTCAAAGCAGCACATCTGTCCAAGAGAAAAAAGCAAAGTCACCAATATGAGCCAAGTCACTGAGATGGAGGGAAAAAACTCTAGGCCACAGTCAGGATTCTAGTTCTAACTCTCTTTTATTTATTTTTATTTTTATTTTTATATTTTTTTGAGGTGGAGTTTCACTCTTGTTACCAAGCTGGAGTGCAATGGTGCAATCTCGGCTCATTGCAACCTCTGCCTCTCAGGTTCAAGCAATTCTGCTGCCTCAGCCTCCCAAGTAGCTGGGACTACAGGTGTAATGCCACCACACCCGGCTAATTTTTTTGTATTTTTAGTAGAAACAGGGTTTCACCATGTTAGCCAGGCTGGTCTCAAACTCCTGACCTCAGGTGATCTGCCCGCCTTGGCCTCCCAAAGTGCTGAGATCACAGGCGTGAGCCACCACGCCCGGCCTATTTTTTATTTTTTTAAGAGATGGAAATCTGGCTACTTTGCTTAGGCTCGACTTGAACTCCTGGCCTTAAGTGGTCCTCCCCACTCAGCCTCCCAAGTAGCTGGGACAACAAGTGCATGCCATCACTCACAAACTAACTCTTACAACCACGTACTGAGTATCAGCCCTGTTGCAGGCATCATGTTGTAAGTTTTACACACGTTTTCTTTCATCCTAATGATGCCCATGTTACAACACAGGAACCTGAAGCCTCAGAGAGATTTAAATACTTCTCCATACCTCGCAAAAGATTTTAAAATAAAACCCAAATGGATTCACAATCTAACTATTTTTTTTTTTCAATGAAGAAATGTAGAATGTTTATATAACTGTAGGAACTGGAGACCTGCATAGGCCAGACTCTGTACTAGAAGACATTAAAAACACACATTTGATTATATAAAATGTAAAATATGGTAAAAGACACCTTAAACAAAACTAAAAGACAAAAGACTGAAAGAAACATAAGAATTGGTAGCCCATAACATAAGAATTGATAGCCCTAACACACAAAGATTGCCTACAAATTGATTAGAAAAAGACAGTCAGAAAAAGAGAGGCCATGTACAGTGGCTCACACCTGTAATCCCAGTGCTTTGGGAGGCCAAGGCAGGAGGATCGCTTGAGTCTAGGAGTTCAAGACCAGCCTGGATAACATAGTGAGACCCCCATTTCTACATAAATTGTTAAGTTTTAGCCAAGTGTGGTGGCATGTACCTGTAGTTCCATTCACTCAAGAGACTGAGGTGGGAGGATCACTTGAACCCAGGAGTTCAAGTCTGCAGTGAGCTATGGTCACACCACGGCACCCCAGCCCAGGAAACAGAACACGACCCTGTCTCTAACAAAAAAAATAAATTAAATTAAATGTAAATTTAAAACAAATTATTGTACAACTGCACTATGGAATATCATGCAGTTATCAAAAATATTAACGAGCACATGCCAACATATTGACCCAGACTGTAGATTTCCACACTATATTCTTAAACTTTAAAAAAGGACATAGGGCCAGGTATGGTGGCTCATGCCTGTAATCCCAGCACTTTGGGAGGCCAAGGCATGCGGATCACCTGAGGTCAGGAGTTCGAGACCAGCCTGGCCAACATGGTAAAACCCCATCTCTACTAAAAATAC